GATACCCACATCCGTGTAATTTATTGGTACGATACCCACATCCGTGTAATTTATTGGTACGATACACACATCCGTGTAATTTATTGGTACGATACACACATCCTTGTAATTTATTGGTATGATACACACATCCATGTAATTTATTGGTACCATACACACATCCATGTAATTTATTGGTACAATACCCACATCCATGTAATTTATTGGTACGATACACACATCCGTGTAATTTATTGGTACGATACCCACATCCATGTAATTTATTGGTACGATACACACATCCATGTAATTTATTGGTATGATACACACATCCATGTAATTTATTGGTACCATCACATACAAGTTCCTAAATACAAAATATTTAACAAACACCAAGCATATTTTTTTTCACTCAATTTCATAAACTATTTTTTAAAATCACAATATACAATGTTCTATATGTAATTAACAAAATTACATGTTTTTACACACACACTTCTTTCAAAATCTCGACTGCTTATTTGCAGATAAAACTATAATGCCAATGTATTTATTTAATCTTTTCTGAACCATTTACATCTAGCAATGAATGTTAACTATAGAATAATTTAATGTACTGTAGTTTGGATGCTCAAAACAATTATATTAATAAAAACAATGTGTACTTTATTTGGTATTCTTAACCAATGTATTACAAGCACATGATTTGTTTTATGATTATTATCAATGTGCTATATTTATTTCAAAATTTATGTTTGAATTTACAAAGAGAGAGAATTATCATTAATTTGTCTGATATGAATTAGTTAATATGGATTGTTCTTAAAGAGCTCTTTGACTACATAGGGTTTAAACTAGTCTTCAAGCAATGAAAGAGATGATACTGTAAACCATGAGTTGGCATGGATTCCACTAGCCTCTTTAAACACAAGCATAATGTTAAGAACTAACTTGTTAACCTTGGGTATATACTTAGACGTATATGTTAAACTAGAATGATTCACACTTGAGTTGAAAATGCTGTTTTTAAAATGTGCATATATCTTAGAACTAAGTTAGAAATATGTAGGAAAAATAATTTCAAGGTGTTTGACACACTGAATCAGCAGTCCATTACACCAACATACTACTTAATTGCAATTTCTTACAAAGACTAACAACAATTAATTTATTTCTTATGCTATACTTTACTATGCCTAACTTACTGCAGTGTATGTGTTGGTGGTCAAACTATGATAGATTTTAAGTACAAAAAATATATACATTAAAGAATTTGTGTGAGATAGTGGAATCAAATGACTATGATGCTGAAACATTTGGGACACAAGACAAAACTTCCACACAATCCAAAGAATTATACCATACATACAAGTATGTATGTATGGTTTAAGATCCAAATAATAAAATTTAATAATAGGCTGAACAATCACAAAGTTATTTATATTTTTTTTATTAATATAAACATTTAAAAAATATATATAAGAAATATAAATAACTTTGCGATTGTTCAACCTATTATTTAATTTTGTTATTTTCATCCAAATAAGTTTAGGTCAATACCAAATAGCAAAAAGATAAATATTACAAAGCTGGACCAGATCTACGAGTCAGAAATGTAATGATAAGAACCCTGCAGAAAAAGTTTGTAAATGTAAAAGTAAAATAAGATCAATCTCCCGAAATTTGATGACAAATGATCTTCATCAGAATCGTTAAATTGCACCAAAACAAATGACATAGTATGCTTGTCATTACAAAATCAAACTACAAAAAGTATAAAAGGTAAACAAAAATTATAAAAATGTCCAAAAATCAATGGCAACGTAATGCCAAGGGAAAAAATTCCACAGAGGAATCTACAATATACAACAAAGGGTTTGACCCTTGAGAAAAAACAAACAAACTTCCCGATACAACAATTATTTCCTTGCTGATTTCTCCAAGCACGTTCCCTTGGCTATAGAAAACCAGGTATCACAAGAAGAAAGCTGAGCAGTTTTGAATTAGAACTGAAAGTAACCCAGACTGACCGTGTACTGTCTTTGTCAACAGAAAAAAAACTAAATGTGGGCATGACAACAAATACATCAATAAAGTAAAGAAACAGGTTCCTTTACAAAATACTGACAAGGGAATCAACTTTAAGCCAGCCAATAAAAATAGCTTATGAACCTGAAATCACACACACACACACACAAAAGAAATAGGAAAGAAGACTCAAAGGGAAGTATGAACAATATACAGCAGGAGTATGAGATTCATGCAGTGACAAATGCATCAATTATAACACACAATTATATACAAGAAGTACTGTATATATATGAATTATTTAGAAATATAACGTATTTTTACTGGTATCAACAACCAACGTACTACATGTGCATGTATTTATAATTCATGCTGATATGCTGTCTTTATTTAAAACATTTAATCCCTTAATCCTTTCCAGATGGGTCAAAGGTCATGCCACCGTGTTTGTTGACTC